AAAAGAAAAAAAGAAAAAAAAAAATTAAAAAAAATTAAAAAGGAAAAAGAAGGAAAAAACGAGAAAGAGTACAAGAGAGAGACACATCCCCGTCTACCTAAAAGGAACACATTCCAGACCTGGCCCTTTTTTTTTTTTTTTTTTTTTTTTTCACGGATCATATTGACATCAAGTGGCAGCAGTTGCATTGGACCGTCGGGATCGCTGCTTTTTCCAGGCGAGCGAAAGCTCGGCCAGCATAGACTATCACAACCGGGCTCAACCCACCTAGGCCAAGATGGCCACGTCAGCCCCAATCACGTTCCAGCGCCGCTTTTCTTCAGTAGTGGCAGCCAACACAAGGAATGCAGACAAAAACCAGCAATCAAATGGAGCACTGGTCGACCACGAAACCCTCCGCTTTCTGCTCGAATCGCCCCAAATCAAAGGGGAAAGAGTAATAAAGAAAGTTAAACAGGACGGTGAGGAAAAGGAAATCACAGTCTGGTGCTACCCGAAGGAAAAAATCGAGTCCACCAATGCCATGTACACAAAACACGGGCTAGTCTTCACTTTCTCCAACACAGGGGCTCGCCTCCCTGAAATCGAGAAACGGAAATGGATCACAAGGACAAAGACCAGATCATCGACCCAAGGGCAATCAGGGAAGAGAAGAAGCACGGGGATCTGTTGTGGGACATGGAGACAATACGGATCCAGACAGCAGAAACGTGCCAGAATACCAACCTGGACAACAGCACACTGTTGCAGGAAGCGAAGCAAACGCTCGAGCACCGCCTCCCCAAACCGGAGATCCCCCCTGCACTCAAAAGGAACGCCTCTCCCTCCACGAAGAACAGCCAAGAGGACAGGGCAGGGAAGAAAAGAAGGGCAACCGAGGAAGGATCAGGCAAGACTCTCAGAACGGAGCACCCCCCGACAGACGACACTCTTTCCGGGTCAGACCAGAATTCAACAGCAACAGACTCCCAGGCAGGTATGGACATATCGCCAAGCAAATCGAGTCCCATCCCTTGGCTCGAGGGGTACCTGCAGAGAGCAAAGTATGAAAGGGAAAAAGAGTTCGGTGTTAGACTGGCCTGCATGAAACATTTGGAGAAGACCGGGAAACCGACCACTGGAAAAACAGTGGCCGGCATCCCACAATCCAAAAATTTCTTTGAACTGCTGCGTATGAACTCCGAACTCTCGGAATTCAGCGCCTTCAGATACTACGAAAAGAAGAGGGAAAGAGAAGCTGCAGGAACCGACACTGGCTCAGGCTTCGACCCCCAAGCGTCGGCAGACTCCATCCGCGACATGGTTTCCAAGAACTGGAAACCATCCAAGGGGAGGGACAAGAGACCAAGGGCCCCCCCCAAAGACGAAGCAAGCAGCAAGAATGAGCAGCGAAGACTCACGCAGGAGATCGCAACAGTGGCAGCCCAGACCAAGAGGCTGTTCGATCAGAACCAAGACTATAAAAAGGAGCAAGGCGAGAAGTTCATCACAGTCCGGATGATCGCAGAAAACAAGGCACCCAGTGTCCCCAAATCAGCAGGCAATGATAGGGGGAACATCAGGGCAATAAGACCGCTGCTGCCAATCCAGTTCAGGACCAAATTCAATGAATGGCAGGTGGCCACAGACGCAGCGTTCACAATCCCCACCCTCGACGACGACAGAGCCCTGGCCAAGAGCATCAGGGACAACGTCTCAACTGAGACTCCGTTGGGGGTGTACGGGGTCCCGCCACGAGAGCAGACAACCGAAGGGAAGATACCGGAAGAACCGATCTTCACGCCCTTCGATCCCATCCTGGTTAAGCTCGACGAGAGAGCAAAACTCTGCGAGGGCCTGACCTGGAGGGCATGGGACACAATCACAATGCTGCCGTACAACGTGCTGAACGGAAGGTTCAGCACGTCCGACATCATTGCAGATTCGTTGGCCGACATCATCAGGACCCGCCTTTTGACATCCAAGACCTCGCTGCAGGACGAGGCAACCCCCATCGACGTGGACATGGGAGGGGAAGATTCAGACATGGGGGACGAGGAGGATGAAGAAAGGGAAGCAGACAACAAGATCTCCCCAGGGGGAGACGACGCTGGGCCGCCAGCGAAGTCGGAGAGCAGCGCTGGAGAGTACGGCTTGGGCTCCTCAGCAGCAAGTGAGGACAGCAGGGACTCCAACACCGACAGCAGCAAGACCCAGGCAGCCGTGGACTGAATAAATCACCGCTGTAGCAAGACAACCTCACCCTACAAACAAAAATGAAAACACAACAACAAGGACCAAAGAAAAACAGGAAAGAAAAAATAAAAAATAAGCAGCAATGCAGAGTGCCACAACAATAAGACATGGGCAAGGCAGCCCACCCAGGCTAAACTGGCATACTAAAGGACTCCAGATAATCAGCTGGAACGTCAACGGCCTGGGGAACATCCTAACCGACGAAGACAAGATCAGAGACATCCGGACATGTCTGGTGGGGAAGGATATCCCCAAACCCGACCTCATACTCCTTCAAGAAACCCATCCATCCAACCTGATCGGTCACCCGAGGATACAGCAGAGGATGGAGAGATCCGTAGGGGGATGCACAGCAGCCTTGTGGTCCAACAGAGACGGTTATAGTAACAGGGGGACAACGATACTGATCCCAAAAACGTCCAAAATCCTGACCGAAGGGCAGATCCTAAACAGCGAGGGGGACAGCGAGGAAGGGAGATGGTCGTGGATGGACATCAAGTGGCAAGGTGAGGACCTGCGAATTCTCAACCTCTACGCACCAAACACGGAATCCGACAGACTAGTCTTCTTTGAGAACATCAGATCCCTCATCCCCARCCCACAGCCAGTGATCATCGCAGGGGATTGGAACACAACCCTGGACCCAAACCTGGATCGGATATCCARTACGGTACTAATGGGACCCACAAGAGCGGGCACCAGGATTCRAAATCTGATGACTGRACTCGAACTCTGCGACCYTCTCAGGGCACTGCACCCGGACAAGAAAACCTTTTCCCGGATAAGGAGGAACCAAGCCAACCGGACTTCACTGTCCAGGATTGACTTCTTCCTCATATC